TGTCGAGAGAGATGAGCCAGAAAGAGGACCAAAAATAGGGGGGGGGAGGCGATACAACATTAAATATAGCGACTGTACTGCAACAGTGAGCTGCTCGTTTTCAATGTTGGCACTATGCGGTTTATGAGGGGCTTTTTGCACTTTCACAGACAACCTTTGTTGACTCATGTTAACTGAAGCTCACTTTGGTTATACTTGTAAGCCCCCAAAGTTTGAGTCAGCCGCTCAGATTAAAGAAATTGAATGTGGCCAGTCCAAGTCATGCTGAGTACCATCGGGTGCCCCCACGAGGCCGAACTGCCCGTCAATTCTAGCCAACCACGGTTCCTATTTCTGTTCCCTTAACAAAACCTTACGTCGTGATGATTCTTATACTGATAACTGGCTACTTATGATTACAGGCTACCTGATTCTCACAGGTGACCTGTGATCACTGTCGCTCAAAGCTCTTGTGAAATCCTGGAATGTGCCCTACTGGGATATAAGGACACAAAAGGTGGGGAAAATTTCCCCACTATGACCTACCGCTCCTCCAACTACTCAAAGGGAAGGTTACCGTGTGATGAAGAGCTCTATACATGCTGCGACATCCCACTGTCAGGGTAAGGATTAGAATCTTTTTTGTCGTAATTCTGCCTAGTTTATTGTCGCAGGACTGAATCCTCGCTTGCAGAGGCTTTAGAATAGGCCCCGGTCCGCAAAAAAGTGAAAAATGAGACCTTTCTGAACATTCATATTTCAATCGAGTTTTTCCGACGATCGTATCTAATTCATCTAGCGCTCTTTTTCTTGAATACTAGAATGATGGATGATTTCTAGGTGAAGCTTTTTTCGACCTTCATCCGGTGGTGGTATGGCTTAGCATTCATAATGATGCCAGGAAAGTAGATGCCAAAGAGAACAAAAAAAAGCCAAAGCGAAGAAATAAGGAACCCAACTAGAGGAATCGATCTTTCAGAAGCCATGAAATGCTCAAAAAACAACATCTTAGGCTTTCCCAAAAACAAGTAATTTCCTGGAATATGGAAAGACGAGGCCCAACCTGTGAGATCCTTCTGAAGTGCAACGATCAATGCAGCCTAATCTTCGTACCAGGAAACGAGCACAAGCTCTTCGGCTGTCGCTGAAGTGAGCACCAGAATCAGCTGTTGGCGACGGCGATCGAGTCCAGAAACTGCACACACGCACAGCTCGAAGAATCCTGCTGTTTGCTGCAGGCCTGCCGCGCCGGTTCGCCGCGTTACGCGAGATGTGCGGCGTAAAAACGTCGCGCGTCCGCTCGCACATTGAAAAAGCCGCGCTCGCGGCGGCAAAAAAGCACCGAGCCGCTTTAATTGTGCTCGACAAAAAGCCGCCGCGCCGCACGTCGCCCACTTTGTCTCCGCTGCGGCAGCCCGTTACACGAGCCGCAACTCGGTACCGAGAACGAACGAAAGAGGGGCGAAAGTACCCTTCGGCCAGAAAAGAGAAGTATCTGGGAGTCCGTCTGTGTGGGAAAGGCAGATTTGTTGGAAACTGCTTGAAATGGGAAAGATCAAGAGGGAAGGGCTGGTCTACATCGTCTACGATAAGCCTAGGCAATCAAACTCATTCGTTGCTAGTGCACCAAAACTGGACGGGTACTA